AGCGACTGACTCTTTGCCACTTTTTTACATGTCTACGAAGCTCTAGCTAACAATTTACCAGTTAATGATTAAATCAATAGTTAAATGGATTTATCGTTATCTGTATAAATCGGATAAATTTATGTAAATAATGTTTGTACTTGATTCTTAAGGTTTAAAATCGGCTTAAGGGATGATGGGTGAATGAAGTATTGGAACTAGCAGTCGAAGTCGAGATATGTTGATTCGATAAGAATCTTGTGGGTATATCGATAAGATCCAATTTCTCTTGTTACGATTTCAACAGAGCATACATAATGCTTGACTCCCGCCTGCGAATTTTACGAAGAATTTCGTATATTTATTCGGTAAAACCTTATCGTGCTAATGTGACACGTCACACGAGTGCAATAGCGGTTTTGTAGTTTTCTGCAAATGCGCCGTCGTTTAGGATTCTCTCACGTAATTTCTAGACATTTTAATTTGGCCGATTGCTGACACTTAGTGTGCTAAAACTTAATGCTACAAATAAATGCTTTTACATTAGTTTAATCAATTTTTATTGTTACAATTAAAAGACAAAAAAAACATTATTTATCGCAGAGCGAACTTGAGAAAAATTTGCATCCATTTAAAGGAGTTTTCAACTGAGGATAATGAATATTTTCCAAAACAAACTACCTCTAAAAAAAAACTCCCATACCAACCAACACGTTCTAAGTTACTATAATAGGCTCAAAATTGTAAATAATTTTTCTTCCCATGATCCTTCAAGAAAAACTTTTGCCAGTCGAATATTTTCTCCAAATGATATTAATGGCATAAATTTCCACCTGAATAATATAATAATAATCTATAAAGGTTGGTTACGTGGTGGCTATCAAGCCTGTGTGGACAAACGCAGCTGTAGCTCCAGCGTAAAACTTGAGACAATCAAAAGCGATTCGGTTACACGGCCGGAGCTAACAACAAGCGGCTAGTTTCCGGCAACACCTGTAACTTGCTAACTGGATCGAGTCGCTTCTGAGCGAGTGGCCGGCTAGAATTAATTGATACACACCCTCTCTACGTACTAGTAGTCTCTGTTTAATTGCGGTTTGTTGGAGTGTAGTTACTTGGCGCAGTTTGTTTAGTTTAACGCCCGTGTTCAACTGCAGGTTAGTATTAACTGTAACTAAACTTCGTGTTTTCCGTGTGGTCACACAGTGTGAATTAATGCAATGTATCACCACTTGTTTTCATCGCAGGAGAACAAAGCGCGATACGTTATTAATACAGCCAGGAGGGGCTGGATACGAATATTTGTTACACGAAAACTAAAAATAAAGCTCGAAGTCGCCTCCCTGTGATAGAAAAGATACGTTGAATAATACTATGTACTGGTATATGAATCACACAATCAGAATTATGAAAAATCCTAAAATACCAATCAGTGACGTTTTTAGTTAAATACGGCGAAATTTTCTTAAAAATGTAAAAGTGTGGTTTCATTCTGATCTACTCATTTTCTGTCCAAGAAAATTATATTTTATTCGAGATATGTTTTAATTAAACTATTGTATGAGACCCAAATCTATAGTTTTTATATATCTATTTATGTTTTCATACCATATAACATATAAACTCGACTTCGACTTCTGCTACATACAAAGACTAGTGACAAAGAGCGGCCATGATGTCCTTGTAAATAATCTGTGTATTTATGGTATGCGTGTGTTTAATTTCGAATGACATTCACTCTTAAAGTGTAATTATTTAATGTTTATTTTTGTATGGCCGCTCAGTTTTTATTTCTAGGCACGAGACGCGTGACAGAGCGCAACCTGAGCAATACAGTGATCTCTTGAAACGTCACATATCCTAAAGATATCAGTATTTGTATCATATCAATATGTGAGAGCAAACAACGATTGACGCTTTTACATATATACCGACTTGTTTTAAAACTAGCTACTTTCCAAGGCTTTATCACGGAAGTGCCCATTAGAAAACTTATGGGTCAGTTTTACCATGTATTTTATATCCATCCATTCTTCAAGATTGTACTATTTTTTTTCCAAGTTAAAATAGGAGTAATCTATTCAGTAGAGATGTCGACATTGTAAGCAACTTCTTATAAAGGATCTCTCGATTGTACGAATTTGTTTTATGATGGACTCGACCGATTCTGTTTACACCAACCAATCTTTCAATTGGACTAACACCTACTCAGTTATAAAATTACGCTGAAATCCATTCGCCCGTTTTATTATAATGACGTAAGTAACAAACATATAAAATAAAAATATAAATTATTTTTGGTTATTTTTAGCTAAAAATGAACACATTATTAAAAATGTATGGTATTTTTATCTCAATTAACGTGCAATATAGTAATTTACTCGATCACGCTTAACGGCTGAACGGATTTGAATGAAATTTCCACGAACAGATCTACCATAATTACTGTCAACCCATCACCGTAATTCATGCGTGCAAAGCCACGGGATTGTTTTGCTAAATTAAAACAAGTCGGTGTATACAGTCGGAGCGAACATCGGACCTGCATATCACGGCGCGTGATGCAGTGAGGCGCCGCGCAGCCGAGCACGTCATCGCCGATTAATAAACGATTCGTTTCTCAGTTTGAGTTATGAACAGACTGAATTTGTGAACTTGTAGATATTTATTAAACTAGGTAATTTAATTTGTAAGTATAAGAGGTGATTTGTTATTATAAAGTTTAAAACAACTCAAAGAGTTCGCCCTACTGTTGACATAATTATTTTGGACGAGAATAAAGGTTGTCTTGGAAGTACATTGATTGTTTTACTAAGTCCCCCCGCGTTGCGGAGCGGCGCGGCGCGGAGCACTGTAGATACTATACACCAGGGGTTCCCAAACTTATTTTGTCTACTGCCCACTTTGAGAATAAATTATTTTTTAGCGCCCCCATTTTTTCACCCACTTAAAAACTACTATTACATCAAGATCAACAAATCACCAAGCCTCTACACAACACCCCCATTTTTTTTCTGGGTCTCTTACCACCCTTTAGGCCTGCAGCGCCCACAAAGGGGCATTATCGCCCACTTTGGGAAAGGCTGCTATACACAGTTCACGAGCTCCAAATAACTTCCAAATAACAGATGCTATGATCCAATTAAGAATAGAAATTTCTATTAGTGTACCATTGGAATTCTATCTACCTACTTGGTAATGTTCTAAGTGTGAAAGTTATGAGATTTGAATGTAGATATCTGGAACTTTGCTGAGAGATTTCAATAAATTTTTATATAGATTGTCTACAATAACATGGCACGCCCCTCCAACTTTTTTATTTCAATGTGTGCAACCATATACAGACGTGGCTCTCTGTTTGTGTTTGTGTTTATAAGGAAACATTTTTATTAACAATTCAGCGAGAGGAGTATATTGCTTGGTCGAAGCCTTTTCACTTACACATTTCTAACTCTTTGGTTTTTGGAGGGGCGTGCCATGTTATCGTAAACAATCTGCACACAAATAGATCACATCTTAGATCAACATAAAGGTAGAATATTCTTTATCCTAATTTACGCAGCCAAAGCTGAGGTACGTAGCTAGTGAAATATAAAGAAAATTTTAAAATATCAAATGGTATTCGACGTGTTTCATTCAGTCTAAAATTGGGATGCACAAAGCTTACATGTTGAAATGTAAGTAAAATGCAATACGTAAGTATATATGTATATAAATATGTATATAAATATTTTCAAATAAATATTCTGGTGGATATTATTAGTAAATACATAGAAATATTTTAATATTCATTTGATAAGATTGTGTTCTATAAAAAAAAAAACAAATCCAATTGATGCAATACAAGTTTTTTTTTTTTTTATACAACTTAGAATGGCAAACAAGCTGACAGCCCACCTGATGGAAAGTGGTAACCGTCGCCTATAGACATGAGCAGTACAATGGACATAACAGAGTATACTGTTTCGCCCATGATACCCCCTATACATGGTTAATATTTTGTTATAAAAATTAAACTACTAAACCTTTGATATAATGTCTATGGTACCCACCAATCTGTAACTATATCGTTTCAGACAAAAGCAAAATGTTCCAAATCGGTTTATAACTGAAGATTTTTTTAATGGATGATAACTGAATAGTAACCCCGCCCGCGCTATCGGTATACACTGGCGGGGCACCAGTGAGGGATAATTGGTGAGAATGTAAAGGCAGGTCAACTCATCGTGATCAATACACCCAGAATTCAGCACGATGGTTTTCAGGGGGCACCACCAGCAATAGGACCGATAGTCCGCATTACTAACAATCCCTTTCCCCCTAACTAACGAAGTTGAGATAACAAACATTTAAAAAAAACGTACAACTTGAATTAAAAGCTAACTGCTTTTTGAAATCGGTTGAAAATCGATGTGAATTCAATAGCTACAAACATTAAATAGTTCATCTGGGAATTCAATTAAATATGTTCTTCTATATTCAAATATTTTTAAATGCGCAAAACTACATTGAAACGTCTCGTCCACATCGTGTGTGTGAGTACGCGTCCGTGCATACGTGCGACACACACACACGCATGTAGTATGTGTGTGTTTACGATTGAACTCTCTTTTTTACCGAATAAAATGTATTTCATTTAAATAAATTTTTCACTCGCTAGAACCTAAATAGTCGAGTGCAGTGCGATTTCAGTTTTGTTCCACAATCGATCAACCTGTGGAATGAGCTCTCTGCCGAGGTTTTCCCTAGACACTACAGTATGGGGTTCGGATTTCTTTAAGGTCGGCAACACGCGCATGATACCCCTAGTGTTGCAGACATCCACAGACTACAGTGACTTTATCATCAGACGGGCTGTATGCTTGTTTGTTACCTTCGAGATATAAAAACAAAAAACTTCGAAAATTTGATATTATTGGAAAATCATTTTTAAGAAATTTACTGTTGATATAATAAGACAGAGATCAGATGTAAGACAATAGAAAAGTTAAGCGGGAGTTGTCGGGCCCTCGAGTGCAGCATCAGAGGCACGCGGCGCGCCGCACTCGAGGCCGGGCGGCGCGGTGCGCAAGTTTCGAACGACTCAAGTGAGGCTGAGAGCGACTGCCCGCGACACGAGGCGCCACGAGGGCCGCAGCCTAACAACAGACGCGTCCAAATATGTATTTCGTACAATGCAACTTCATTTTATTATTTTTTTTTATACAACTTAGAATGGCAAACAAGCTGACGACCTACCTGATGGAAAGTGGTAACCGTGGCCTATAAACATGAGCACTACCATGGACATAACAGAGTATACTGTTTCGCCCATGATACCCCTATGCGTTGCCGTTCCTGAGGGCTCAGATGTTATTCCTCTGTACCCAGTAAATTCACGCCATATCCAACGCCCTTCCAACTGAAACACAGCCATGCAAACACAACTGCTTCACGGTTGAAACACGAATGGGACAGAGGTACCTAAGCAAACGACTTTTGTACAAAGTCTCCCTCTGGTACAATTATTTAATATCTTATACAACTTTACAGTCACATTCAAATCAGATACCAAATTCATTCTTTCATTCAAATATCTGGAGTTTCCACCACTGTAGGTGAAGCCCAATTCGGTGGAGAAACAATCTCAAACGTGTTACAAGTAATTTTGCCTTTTACCTTAAAACCTTTTAAAGGAATGAAATTGGAACGGTGAGTCCGCCCACGCTACCAATATACGTAGGTGGGCAGTGAGGGATGACAGATAAGGATAAAAGCATGTCAGTTGACCCATCGTGACGAATTCATTAAGTATTAATCACGAGATTAGACATAGCAAGGTAGACAGAGTCTGTGCCTGTGTAGTATATATAGATACTCTTTATTGTTTACTCCAAAATATTACAATAGTAAACTTATTATAAATATAAACAATTACAAGAAATAATCACAATGAGAAAACAATGGGCGACCTTATCGCTAAAAGCAATCTCTTCCAGGCAACCTTTGGATAGAGAGGAGTAATTATAAACAATTTGATCGGAGGCACGATGAAAATTCTATTATTTCTAAATATGGGGATGGGACACATGTAATAATATAATAAGTATATACTCGTATATTTATAGGAGACGATAAATGGCTAAGATATTTCTATCATTTTAGTTATTTATTGTGTATAAATCATAATTTCCCGTGTGATCCCGGCATAGAATAGGCCACCTCTTTCTTTCCCGTGGGTGTCGTAAGAGGCGACTATGGGAGGGCGAGGGATGGACAGCAACGTCTCTATTAAGGCATCTCCAAAGCCTAACTGCGGTTGCCAATCCGCCTGCCAAGCGTGGCAACTACTGGCAAAACCCCCCAAGGGGAAGGCTTATGTTCGGCAGTGGGCAATTAAAAGCTGATATGATGATGTTGATGAAATGATGAAATCATAATTTAATTCAACTTCGAAATACATCTTATATTTTAGTGTTAAAACTTTTGTAAGTACACAGAAAAGTAAGCTCGCGTTAAGTGGGCTGAAGCGCGCAGTCAAGCTCGGGCTCGGGTCCTAGCCACTCAAGATTAAAGGTCCCTAATTATCCCGAAACTAGTCAAGCATTCTCGACCAAATTACACGAAAGATAAACCAGTAGTTATTATATTAAAACACCATATATTATTTTAAAAAATAACCTAATCATTTATATATATTTTCACCTCGTAAAATAAAATGTAAATACAAATAAAAACATAAGAACATTCTAGTTGTTTTAAGCTAAAACATCAAAAAGCCGTCTCTTGTACGTCGACTGTTCGCACAGTCGTAAAGTTTGATGGTCGCGCGTTTGAATCCGGTCTAATCATCGCGGAATTAGCGCAGAGCCGCGGAACACGCGCGGAAATGTACAATTTCTTTCTGTAAGTAATGCGACTCCAAAAACCCCGTGCAAAAACCAACCTCGCCTTAATGCTCGGTATTAGCAAAATAATATAGCTCAGGTCAGCTTGATACGCGACGCGGTTATGAAAATTTAAAGATTGAGTGAATATTGTGTTATATTTTGTTGTTTTATTTAAACTATTTTATTAATTTATTACAAGTGAAAATCAGAAAACAGCAGGAGAACATTTTATTTTAAAGAGAGAACGACACAGATTAAAAAGAATATGTCAAAAGTCTTGAACAACTATCAATCTATGTTAAACGTCAGAACAAAATAGAAGGCGGCAAATTTAAATATTACAACACACTCACCAAATTAGAGCCTTCTATTTAACAAAAATAAATACATCTGATGCTACACATTTATATGAAAAAAACACAAAAATACAAGCAACAACTATAAGTTTATAAACAGTTAAGGATAACAATGTGTTGATAGATAAATAATTAAAATGTTTGGGGTATTAACTACATTACTTTACAGTGCAGATACATACACCAATTTTATTTCTGAGATATTGAAATCTTAAGCGTGAAAGAGCTTTTGTAAAAATATCAGCACACTGTTCATCAGTACATAAATACTTCAAATCTATTTCTTTTTCTTGAAACTTTTCTTTTACAAATTTATATTTTATGTCTATATGTTTGCAACGTTTATGAAAATCTTTATTTTTAATTACTGAAATTGCACTTTGGTTGTCTATGTACAAACATATTGTATCCTGATTATATTCATTAATATCTAAAAGTAATCTCTTTATCCATATTGCTTCTTTTGTAGCAGAACATGCAGCCATGAATTCCGCCTCTGTGGTAGACAAAGCAATACTTTGTTGACGTTGAGTTGCCCATGTAACTGCAGCACCATTCTTCATGAATATATATCCAGATGTGGATCGTCTTGTATCTATATCATTGGCATAGTCTGAATCACTGTAGCCTTCCACTACACTCTTTTTTTCTTTTTTATACTGAATTCCATATTCCTTAGTTTCTTTTAAATATTTTAATATCTTTTTCACAGTATTCCAGTGAGTATTATCATAGCAATCAAGATAGCGACTTACCAAGCTGACTCCAAACATTATATCTGGTCGACTAACAATAGCTAGATGCATAAGCGATCCAACTGCTTCTCTATATGGTAGCTTTTCTTCAGGACCCTTCTCCTTTTTCTGCATAATAGTATGAGGATCTACTGGGATGCTATTGCCATTTGCATTATTCATATTAAATTTTATCAATAATTTTTCAATGTATCTACTTTGATGAATAAAAATGTATCCTTTTGTTCTTTCTATCTGTAATCCTACAAAGTTCTTTGGTTCACTTATTTTTATTTCAAAATTTTCTTTAAGATCATTAATAACTTTTTCTAATATATATCTTTCTTTTGATATTAATAATCCATCATCAACATATAGTAGTAAGTAAACTTTAATTCCTTCTACATAACCAGTATACACACATTGGTCAGAGTGACTATTTATAAATCCAAATCTATTTAAAACTGAGCTAAATTTATGGTTCCAACAGCGTGGAGCTTGTTTTAGTCCATATAAAGATCTATTAAGTTTACAAACATAGTTTGATGGCACATCTATACCTTTAGGTGGAGTCATATAAATATCTTCAGATATATCTCCATATAGAAATGCTGTTTTAACATCAAACTGTATCATTTCAAGGTCATGTTGACATACTTCTGATAATAATATTCGTACAGAATCATACCTTACAGTGGGAGAAAATGTGTCAGTGTAGTCAATGTTATATTTTTGTGAACAGCCCTTAGCACAGAGTCTAGACTTGTATAACATACCAGATGGCTCGTCTTTTAAACGGAAGACCCACTTACAGCCAATTGTAGTTACACCTGGTGGCTTCAGCACCAGCTGCCAAGTATTATTCTTTTTATGTGCTTCCAATTCTTCCTTTATAGACTGTTTCCACTTTTCTCCATCTTTTGATGATATAGCTTCACTATATGTCTGTGGTACATCTGCAAACTCTGGCTCTTCACCTTGACAGAAATAAGAGTTATTTTCTTGTAACAATTTTAATTTTTGAGATCTTGTTTTTACATTACTTGGTTGTATTGGACTTATATCTTTCTCAGGTATATATATAGAGCCTTCATCAGAGTGAACAGAATCATCACTTATGCTGACAGTTGACACATCATTTTGTGTATTTTCTAATAAACTATCACTTACAGTATCATTATTTTCAGCAGTAGTCAGAGGTGTCATTACATAATTCTTCTTAATAGAGTTTTCCATAAAAATAACATTTCTACTTATTATAATTTTCTTTGTTTTTGTATCAATTAACCTGTAGCCTTTTGTAGTATCACAATAACCAATAAAAATCATTTTACTTGCCTTTGGATCCAGCTTTTTATGTTTTTCTTTCGGTGTGTGTACCATGGCTTCACAACCAAAAATTTTTAAATGTCTTACATCTGGCTTCTTTCCCGACCATTTCTCCTCAGGTGTAGAATAACCCAGTGCTCGTGTTGGACAGCGGTTAGTGATGTACGCAGCTGCAGCCACAGCTTCTGCCCAATACTGTTTCTGTAAGTTTGAATTAATTAGCATACACCGAGCTCTCTCTATTAAAGTCCGATTCATACGCTCTGCCATGCCATTCTGTTGAGGAGTATATGAATTAGAAGTTTGATGAATTATTCCTGCTTTAATTAAATAGTCTGAAAATTCTTTACTTAAATATTCTCGACCATTATCAGTTCGCAAACATTTAATTTTTAAGTTAAGCTGATTCTCTACTAATGCTTTGTATTCTTTAAATTTCATAAATACATCAGACTTATTTTTTAAAAAATAAACAAATACTTTCCTTGTATAGTCATCGGTGAATGTGAGAAAGTATCTAGCCCCACCAAGAGAAGTCACCTCGAGTGGACCACAGATATCTGAATGTATCAACTCCAGTGCTTTCTTTGCTCGGGAACCTTCAGCTGGGAATGACAACCTAGGCTGTTTTCCTTTTTGACAAGATTCACATATCATTTTAATTTTATTTTTATTTATTCTTACACCTTCAACACAATCTGTTAGTTTATTTAAATCACTAAAATTTAAGTGTGCCATTCTTTGATGCCATAATAAAAAATCTGTCTCATTAGATTTGCAGGTGTATGCAGAAATACTGTCTGTATTCAGCCGGTACATGTTGTTAATGAGATTCGCAGTTGCAACTTCAGTATTCTCTTTATTGAATATTTTGCAGCCATATTTAGTAAACTGTATTGAGCATCCATTATTGATCATCTGACTAACAGAAAGGAGATTACTTACCAATTCTGGTACATAGAGAACATTCTTTACTTGAATTGTATGTTTATTACCATCTTTTCCAATGACATTTAGATTTAACTTGCCACAACTTTTAACCGGGAGCATTTTGTCATTAGCTATTTTAATGTTCGAGATCGGAGGTGGTATTTCATCATAAATCCAATCACGCCTCATAGTCATATGCATGGACGCTCCAGAATCGATATACCATCCATTGTTATTTTTTGTTGTGGCTGAGAACACAGCTACATATCCAGAATCTCTATTAGTGTTTTGTTCCTTTTTCTTCGATTTACAGTTTTTACTTATATGCCTATATCTGTTGCAATTAAAACATCTAGGACCTTTACTAGGTTTATATGGCTTCTCATTTTTTTGTCTCCCTTTGTTACCATAATTTTTATTTACATATAATGCAGTAGACTCGGAGCTTTTTATTTCTTGCAGAAGCTTAGTCTTTACAGAATCTGCTGATATTGGCACACCAGAACTTTCTAACGCCATAATCATTGGCTTGTAATCATCTGGCAACCCAGCCAAGAGAAGAGTACCAAGCCACTCATCATTTACATCAAATGAGATGTTTCGGAGTTTGTGTGCAGTTGTCATTACTTTATTTACGTAGACCTCAACATTTTGGCAACTTTCTAATGTGGTAGTAATCAAATCTTTTAACAAACCGACTCGACGAGTCAAACCTTTATCATCGAATGCTTTTGCCAAATTTTGCCAAACCTCTTTCGCTGTTTTTGCTTCTTGTATATGTACGTAATTAATGGGGTCGACTAGTAAAATAATTTTAGTCTTGGCTTTCATGTCGAGTTTAGGATCGACAATTTCGGAACCTTCAATACAATTCCATAATTCTTCATGCTGTAGATATGATTGCACAGCAAATCTCCACGTGTTATAATTTTCTCTTCCGACCAATTTTTCAATTAGAGTCATTGCGTTACTCGTAGACATCTTTTTTTTTTTTTTTTTTTTATTTTTGGTTGAGTAAATTACCAACAGGGTACTGAAACACGTGGCGTTGAGGTTATGTTTCTTCCGACAATTCTGATAGGTAACAATTAACACTTTTTCTGCTTTAAGTACTTTTTAAATTAAATACAGCAAATACTGAGGCCCATAACCTGTTGTTTTATTTAAACTATTTTATTAATTTATTACAAGTGAAAATCAGAAAACAGCAGGAGAACATTTTATTTTAAAGAGAGAACGACACAGATTAAAAAGAATATGTCAAAAGTCTTGAACAACTATCAATCTATGTTAAACGTCAGAACAAAATAGAAGGCGGCAAATTTAAATATTACAACATATTTTATAGCACGAAGATCATTCATATCCCATTTTACGTTCTCTCTAAACAGACAAATGAAAATAATTATGTTTAATTAAATCACTCATGTCGGTCAATATTTAATGCAAACATATACCGCAGACATGTCTATATTTAACAATTAGCAAGTAGATTTTTATATATACGTATCTATATGATATTATAATATACATATATTGAAACCATTTAAAAATTTGGAAGAGAGGGCCGTACACCAGCTGGCATGAAAATCAGAAACACCTTGAATAATCACCAAAAATTAAAAACTAAATACGCGTAACTATCACTTCCTGCTAAATGACACTCCCCTGGTGTGGTAGAAGAAGCAGCTCGAGAAAGACATCGATCCGCAGGAATCGTTCTAGGGATTGACGGTGACGTGGCCGCTAAATGAAAGATATCTGTCCTCAGGCAGATGCTGGTGTTTTTGGCTCTATTAAAAAGCTCCTGTCCCCGAGCTTCTATTATAAAAAAAAAAAGTTAGGCTCTATACCCACAATTTCCTAAGTCTTCTTAAGAAAACAGAGGATTCCTGTCTTTGTTCAGTGGAAAGTATTGAAACAATGGCTTCAGTACGGGATAGACACTTGCCAGTTTCCGAGCATCAATACGCAAATAAAGAGAAATGTTTTCAGTTAATATTGTGATTGCTGATCGAATTCAGACAGAATTACAAGAGAATATTCATTAGAAAAAAAAAAAATAAGCAAAAATCTCAAACATAACTGCAATATGAATATCGTGATAAATTATTTCCTTGGCTGGTAGAGTCAGTTGCGGGTAATTTCCCAATGAGTGCAAGAAAGCAGTCTCCCCGCGGCGCACCTAGAAACAACTGGACACTCACCTATTTCGGGAGCAAACTTATATTATTTATAAATCTATTTATTTAATAAAAAATCATATAAAGAGTACAATTACGTATGTCTGTCTTACGTTCTTGTTTGTCGTTGCTCTTAAATTTAGAATGCCACTCTCTGCGACTCGCGCCTCCTACTCGATAAAAGATGGCGCAGTTGTGCACTCGTCTGTCAAAAGCGTAATATTATACGTGTGTATTACAATATTAATATTTCATTTATCTGTATATTTGTATCTTCTGTAGTAGTTGTTATTACATTCGTGCACTTTAGCTGGCCGCTCACTACATCTTTTGTCAGTGTATTAGGTTGGCTGGAAGAGATCTCTTTCAGAGATAAGCCCACCCTTGCTCACAATATTTATAACTGCCTTATCTTTGTAATTTACAACTGCAATAAAGAATATATTATTTAAATATATATTGCTCCGCAATAAAAAAAAAACATAAATCATAACAAAATAATTGATGTTAAATGACTAATAATCTCGCAATGTATCTTACTTTAAAACTAATAAAATCCAGCGATGAATCCATCATGATCATTTGATTTGAAATATTTGAATTTAGAATATTAAATTGTGTGTATAGACGCATTAAGGTTTACTTTGACAAACTGCAAATTTAATCATGACAAAATTAATACATTTATGACAATCAACTTTGAGTTGGTAAATACATAAAAAAGAATACAGGCAAATAAAATTGAAAATCTTCTTCCCCTTCGAAATCTCTTAAATATACACAAACAACATGGCGTTATATTAATATGTACTCATTATATTAATACATGAAGCAAAAATTTTGTACCCCTTTTCACAAAAATTGCGCAGTCGAAGGAGTATGAAATTTCGCATACTTATAGTTTATATAGAGAAGGAGTGCAGAATGCTAATATTTTTTTTAATTATGCATAAAAATTAGCATTAAATAAAAAAATTACACACATTACCATGTATTTGACACGCACACGCATATATAATTTTTTTATGCAACTTAGAAAAGCAAACAAGCTAACGGCCCACCTGATGGAAAGTGGTAACCGCCGCCTATAGACGCAGCAGTACCATGGACATAATAGAGTATACTTTTTCGCCCATGATACCCCCCATGCGTTGCTATTCCTGTGGACTCAGGTGTTATTCCTCTATACTCTCTAAATTCACTGCCATCAATCATGCCAGCCATGCAAACACAACTGCTTCACGATAGAAACACGAATAAAACAGAGGTGCCCAAATAAACGACTTTTGCACAAAGTCTCCCTCTAGTGAATCTTCAAGAAAAGAGCCCATTCCTTCTTAAAAGGCCGATCAATACACCTGCAATATCTCTGATGTTGCGAGTGCCTATGGGCGGTGCGTAGTAGTAATAAAGAGTATAATATATAGCATTTTACTCTTTTTGAGAAACTCCATAAAAATCCCGTAAAATAGAAATGTGGTCTTCCAAATTCCTAAACACAAAACCGATTTAGAGTTGGAATAAAGCATCTATATTGATATTCATTAATACATACATACATGTGATCTTTTGGAGGAAACAATAAAGAGTATCTATCTATCAATATATTCAATGTCTGGAACAAGCTCATAACTCTTAATATTTGTTATTATTATCAATAATAATAATTTCATATACTTTAATTTGATTATATCTATTTGTTTATATTTTTTTAATGTGAAACTAATGTCTTACGTACCCCTAAAAGGTTATGTATATCTGTAATTAGTGTAAATGCAATGTTGATGTACCTTATACATCTAATATATAAAATTCTCGTGTCGCGGTGTTTGTTACCAAACTCCTCCGAAACGGCTTTATCGATTTTTATGAAATTTTGTGTGCATATCGAGTAGGTCTGAGAATCGGCCAACATCTATTTTTCGTAACCCTCAATGATAAGGGTGACCCAACCCAAATTTGTTTATTTTTTTTGTAAAAAAATTTTTATTTTTTTTTTTATTATGATTTAACATAGAAAAATACATACAGATTCAAACGCTTTTACGATCTACTCCTGTTTTTTAATCGCGCAAATTTTTATATGCCGCAATATGGTTGCAAGATGGCAATACAATATAATAATTGTAGTAGGATAAATTTTCATGTATAATTCTAGAAATAATGTATATGGTAAAACAACGTTTGCCGAGGCAGCTAGTAAAATATATAATGAAAAGAGACCTACTGTCAGACATTACAAATACCATAAACTATATATGTATACAGATAATGTAACATACATAATCTATTATAGTAAATAAACAGATGTTATTATTAATTATATATCGGTATTATCGATATTTAGATATCCGTTTTTGCATCAGTATACGTGTTTGTACGTTAACATTTACATAACAAATGCATCAGATATTAATTACTCAGTTATTCATACAAGTTGATTGTATGATAAGCAAATAAACATACATTACAATAGTACAATCACCAGTTGATTTGAAGCTGAGAAATGTTATACTATTTACTTACTGCGCCCTTATACGTCATAGATCCTTAGATTGTTTCTTACTTGGGGTTTAAAAATAAATTAATATATCATAAAATTGTAGAATTTATTTGTATAGTCATAAGTTACATTGGTACACTTGCATTAGTTTAAAAATTATACATATTGTTATCATATTACACATTACATATATAATGAAGACAAGCATTATATAATTCTTCAAACTTTCACTCGTATTATATATAAGTTTAATGTAAATACTAGTGGTGTAAAGGCAAGCTCGCAACTAATAGACCTCGACGCTCTCCTGATGGTGTACCGTGTCCTGCCGGAACATCTCCACGTCCGCCTGGCTGTCGGCGTGGATCATCTTCACGCGGCCCTCCTGTAGGCGGCACAGTAGGCGAGCTCGATTACTCTCTCACATCTACTACCTTAACATTATATCTCAAATTTTATATAAACTATCACATTATATATAGGTGTATCGATTATGTACTTTATTGAATCGCTACTATGTATTCGCTTTCATAATTATATTTCTATACATTTGGTTCGATACATGATACGCCTTGCACTAAAGTTGACATATTAATTGATTCAATCATTTTGATATTATTATTTAAAAAGCAGGGGATTGTTAGTAATGGAGACTAAAAATCCCATTGCTAGCAATATACCCAACCAGGTCGACCTCCACGCGGTTCCACCTGGAAACTATCATGGTTAATTCCTAATGAATTCATCATGATGGGCTAACTGGCCTGTTTTCATTCTCATCTATCACCCTTCACTAGTGCCTCGCCAGCGTATGCCGTTAGCGCAGGCGGGGTTATCACACCATTTTGACCCATCAAAAAAAAAGTGCCAATCAATATATATCCAATATTGAGCCAATACAGTTATTAATATATAGCAGGATTAGAGATTATTAGTGCAGTCAATCGTTATGGTATATACCAGAGGGAGACTTTGTACAAAAGTCGATTGCTTGGGTACCTCTGTCCCATTTGTGTTTCAACCGTAAAGCAATTGTGTTTGCATGGCTGTGTTTCGGTTTGAAGGGTGGGATATGGCGTGAATTTACAGAGTACAGAGGAATAACACCTGAGTCCTCAGGAATGGCAACGCATGGGAGGTATCATGGGCGAAACAGTATACTCTGTTATGTCCATAATACTGCTCATGTGTATAGGCGACGGTTACCACTATCCATCAGGTGGGCCGTCAGCTTGTTTGCCATTCTAAGTTGTATAAAAAAATCGTGGGAAGGCAAAAAATATAATAATTTGCTAATCTATCGGAAGATGATATAGATGCAATGCTCACATTAATATAAATAAGTAATTACTAAAACTCATTTCCAGTTTTATGTTTTCCCTCTTAATAAAATAACAACAATATTACGTAATTATGTAAACTATGTTGTTTCATTTGAGATTTTAAGAAGTATGTAATTGGTAGATCTCATAGGGTTTTGTCAATAAACAGTAGATCTTGGGTTTACTAAAGTCGGCCACCCCTTCTATATATAGTAACTACATATAAAATACATAGAATTTTACTATGCATTAAAGTTTAAATAAATAAATATAAAATGTATCGCCCATACTTATGGCATCGAACGGAACAAGAATCCTGATACATTCTAGTGTACTCTATCGCCACATGAAGAATTTCAAGTACAGTAATATGTAAAAGCACCTTAGGGTGCATGAGTATGAAGGGCAACTCGGCGACCAGCTCGCCGTTCAGCGCCCCCAGGTACAGCTTCACCTTGGCGCTGTAGCTCACCACGATGCCGAACGCGTCGCGCTGCTCCGGGTCCAACAGCCTGGTACATCGTTCACATACATTGATTTGTACTTCGAATTACATTTTAGCTAGACAGGTAGTTAATTAGTATTATTATAATGCAATATACATCAATTTATAAAGGATAAGCAAGCTGAAGTGGCTATAGGCTCATCTGGCTGTGGAGAGGGCTATGCTTGGAGTTTACTTGCGTGATAAAATCCGAAATGATGATATCCGCAAAAGAACCAAAATAACCAAGCTGATTAGCGAGCTGAAGTGGCAATGGGCTGGTCACATAGCTCGAAGAACTGACAACCGCTGAGGAAGAAAGGTTCTTGAGTGGCGACCCCGTACGGACAACTGCAGTATAAGACGACCTCCCACTGAATGGAGCGATGACCTCAAATGCATTGCAGGGATGCAGTGGATGCCGGTCGCTTAAGACCGTTCCTTATGGCAGTCTATGGGGAACGCCTATGTCCAGCAGTGGACGGATAATGGCTGAACTGATACATCAATTCTATCCCACAAAAAGAAAACTCCACAAATAAAAGTTTAAATTTTTCTACAATAAATATAAAATTAAATTTAAATGGAGAATAATATACAATACGGGAAAGTTGTCTGTTCATATTATCACCAGTTTCAATCTGCCTGTTGGTGAGTAACTACTACAGCTCGTGAACACTTACAATACTGGAAGCGTCACTTGCGCTTCGGGTGAAGATTGACTCCCAGTACCAATAAAGAGGGGGAGGGAAATACAATTATTGAATCTCATTGGCTAATATTACAAACGTGAAAGTTTGTTTACTGAAGTAATAAACAATTCTTGTTATTTTAAGGACTCAGTCAATCTTTACGAACGTTTGACTTCGATATAATAACTATTGGCGAAAAAAATATATTCCGTTTACGTGAAGTTATAGATAGAGACTAGTAATAAAAAGAAATAAAAATTAAAGAAGATAAGAAAGTGATATGGGTATTACAATGTGGTAGAGGCGAGTGTGGTTTCACCGCGCTTGAGCTGTCCATCGAGAGCGATGCCGCGCTTGTCGCGGTTAGACTGCAGCGACGGAGTCAGGTACAGAATCTTCTGCAGATTGGAGCCCGGCTGCAGCGGACACCCGTCCCTGTGACAAAGGATTCGATTGAAAATCCTTCTTATCATCATCATTCATACCTCCTTTTTAAGGAGTTTTGCCAGTAGTAGCCACGCTTAGCAGGCGGATTGGCAACCGCAGTTAAGCTTTAGGGATGTCTTAAGAGAGACGCTGCTGGGTATCTCTCGCTCTCCCTTAGTCGCCTTTTACGATACCCACGGGAAAAGTAAGGGGTGGCCTATTCCATGCCAGGATCACACACACACACACATACTTCTTATACTATCATACTCAATGATGTTTTGAGCCGGTATCCGCAATTAGACGTGTTTGCCTCCAACTCACTGGAGTTTCCTCGGATGACCACAGAATGTTTGTATTCAAATATTTAAGATATAGATGTTATATCTATTATTGTTATGAGATTGTATGGGATTTTAATCTTATTAATATTATTCTTTTTAATTATAATTGTAGAATACGTGTTATTGTACTGATGCTGTCCTAGATGAGCGTACTAGGAGGCAATAAAACTCGCCCAGTTGATCAAATAAATAAGTCTCTAAATTTTAAAGTTCACTATTTAAATTAAGTGGTCCCTGTACCAGTGACATGTTTAAAACATGACGTTAATATTGTGCGACCCGGAGTCACGTGTGCAAATATTACACTAATTACACTTCAGTTTGAAACTCGTAATATTTATGTGGAAATTTCTAAAATTAAAGCCTCGAGTTTGTCACCGTTAATGATATGCATCATTATTGCCTACAAGATATGTGCTGGGTCGGACGCCTGTTTCAACTTATACGTGTATAAGTAGTAGTAAACTATGTAAGTTCATTTCTGTTTTATCCTACACTATTTATAAATTCAAATGATATAATAAACTAGTATGTATTTATTAATAAATTGCAAAGTATCTGATCATAAATAAACATGTATAGTATTTCTTTTTTAAATTTTAATAGCTTTGTCGCATTATCTCTTCTATATCTAATTTCAGTAAACTTTACGAAATTAATATGATAACTACTTACTGAGTCTCGACACATGCAACCACATTCCGGTACTGTCCGCTCTGGAAGAGCATAACGTCAACGCCTTGCTGGATGCTCGCTTTTATCTTCTTCACCACCTTGTTGCTATTATTCCGAACGCTCATATTCACAGCTATTGTTTCTCCGTGCATGTATAACTGTGAATAAAAAATATCTCTATATCATATGAAACGGATCCAATTTGATATAAAGAAATAATGACATTTATAAAAGCTTGTGTAAATATCAGGATAGTAGCATGCTGTGCTGTGCTGTGGCTTCTCATACAACTTCGCCAGTTTTTACAGAGAACTTAGTTCCATAATATTAAAGTGATCCAGTGATTTGCATGAAGGAGTCAAAATAATCTAATATTTAAAGATCATGTTCTTTGAAAAAAGTTGTTCAGTTGTATCTATATACTATCTCTGATTTTCAGATTTTTATCACTCTATGCTGTACATGCAGTGGAGACTGTCCTATCTGAGATTAAAGAGATGAAATAATTCCAATACCTGCTTGTCGAGAGTGAGCTCGAGCTCCAATTGGCCGGGCGACAACACGAAGTCCTTGCGCACCACGGTGCAAGGCTGGGCACCCTTCTTCTCTGGCGCGTACTGGACCTTCCGTATACCAAGCGCTACTGTGCTCCTATATACCAAAATCTATATTAAACAGAATATACTTTTAAACCAATACAAAAAATGATTGGAATAATATTGTTAATATGTTCAACATACTCTTCTGAAAACCAACATAATTACTTAGAAATTGATTATATAAATGGATTAATGTTCAAATTCATGATAGTTTTTTTCAAAAATGCTTATGCGGCATGTTAATAACGATATATTATATCGTTTCCATAGTATTAAAAAAGATGTAGAGCCACAGACGAAATGTAAAGACACAATAGAGAAAGTAGCGGGAGAGCTATATGTATGTAATTCAATCATCAAATTCCAACAGGTTGGAATAAAGGAGCAAGTCTGAACCAAAAATAAAATAATTATACAGGTTTAGGTTTCTTAAGAATGTGGGTGACGATAATGTTCCTAACATCGCACCTGCGATGTGAGCGATCTATTTCGGAATCCCCAACAAACAACTTGACATAGTAATGCACGCCGCAGGGTTCGCCCTCGTCCTCAAGGCCTGGCTGCAGCGTGACAGAGCCGGGCGCGCCCGCCGGTACGCTCAACCGGAACGGATACGCCATCGAACCCAGCTTTTTAATCAACCTCTCCTAAAAATTCAAAAAGAAAATATTTAAAAAAATAATAATGATATCTCTTCATACAGTCATGAACTTTAAACTTCAAAACTTTGCACCAAATTTCAAAACATTCTCTTATCTGATCTGTGCCCATAACTTGAGTTAAAGTACATCTGAAATCGCTATCCGTAGAAGCTTGAGCACAGAAATTCCGTAGATCACATAAGTAACTAAACTAATATATCCTAAAGTCCCAATAATGCTGGTAGGAATCAACTACTTGACGTCATAATTATTTTGACCTATCATCATTCGCTGCTAGACAACAATGCTTCATATTATACCATTATCTGATAATGTTAAATGTTTTTAATAATACCACGTTCACAGAATATTACCACACTTTCATTAACACCAGCATTTTTTGGACAAGAAATACTATTTTATAAAAAAGAAAAAAGGAAAATATTCAAGTTCTTCTCACCTGTGTCCGGGTGGGCTCAAAAGGCCTCTTCTCCGGCGGCGGGTATATCTGTTCGGAGGCGAGGAACAGTTCCTTGTAAAAGTTGAGGCCCATGACCTCGTCCTCCTCGCGACCGTACCGGAACGTGCACACCACCTGCCCGAACACCTTTCGTCCGCGTACGTACTCCTCATCCAACAGCACCACGCCATCTGGAATATTTTGTATGCAACCTAGAATAGCAAACGAGCAGACGGCTCACCTAATGGAATGAGGTAACCGTCGATAATGAACATCACAGAATACATTTTGTTGATTACAATCAGACGAGGACTTTTAAAATGGCCTAAATTTTTCTTTTTTACAACACAGGAGGCAAACGAGCTTGCGGTTTACCTGATGGTAAGTGACTACAGCTGCTCACCAATGGCATTGCAGGTGCTGCTGGCCTTTTAAAAAGGAATATGCTCTTTTCTTGAAGGTTAATAAATATATAAATATAAACGATACTAAGTATTACGTAATGATTTCCGTGTGATCCAAAATATCTCCAAAGTCTAACTGCGATTGCTAATCCGCCTGCCAATCGTGGCAACTATGGGTCTCCCTAAAGGGAGACTTATGTCCAACAATGGACTGTTAAAAACTGATATGCTAATGATAATATAAATTTAGATTCGGATTTTTGTAATTTTAAGTAAGACAGACTGCAATTGCATTTGCAGCACGTAACGCAAACAAATCTTGCAGTAGCAAACAACTATTAAAAACGGATCTATTCTAGTTCGAAGACGAGGCAGCATAATGGCGCCAAGTTGGCTCATCGTTCTTGCAGACGGCAGCCGCTTGATGGATGGCGCTGACTGCTACCTGCACGCCTCGCTACTACATTGTTTCTACCATCAACTTCTGTTAGTTCACGAACGTTATTAGTTTTCAACGCCTTTTAGATTTTATTTCTAAGATTTTTACTCAGCACTCAGTAAAATTTTTGAAAAAATAATCCTTATGCAACTTGTCAGTTATTTCAATTTAAATAATTTAATCCACAATAGTCAATTCGGTTTTTCCAAAGGTCGTTCAACTACAGACGCAGGTGCAGAGTTGCTTAGACACGTATTTGCTGCATGGGAAACCAAAATGGATGTGATAGGTGTTTTTTGTGACCTTTCTAAGGCTTTTGATTGCGTTGATCATAATACATTGCTAAAAAAACTTGCTTTTTATGGCGTCAAAGACAATGCTTTAAATTTAATAAAATCTTATCTATCTGATAGAATACAGAAAGTGAAGATTAGCAACGCTACGTCTGACGGGTCACTTGTGCAAATGGGTGTACCTCAAGGATCTATTCTCGGTCCATTTTTATTCCTAGTTTACATTAATGATCTCCCATATGCCATGCAGGATAGATGCGGCATAGTATTGTTTGCAGACGATACTTCATTGATTTTTAAAGTTAATAGAATGACTAATAATTATGACGATGTAAATAGTGCTTTGCGGCGTCTCCTGCACTGGTTTACAACTAACAACCTTATGTTAAACGCTAAAAAAACAAAATGTGTTAATTTCTCTCTATCTAAAAGTTTTAATACTAATTGCAATATTAAATTAAATGACGAATCTCTCGAATTTATAGAATCTACTGTCTTTCTAGGAATCACACTAGATAATAAAACACAATGGGGTGCACAAATTCAAAGCCTTGCAGCGAAACTAAGTTCAGCAGCTTTTGCCGTGCGTAAAGTTAGACAGTACACTGATACTGATACTGCTAGATTAGTCTATTTTAGTTATTTTCATAGTTTACTCTCTTATGGAATATTACTATGGGGAAAAGCGGCAGATATTAAGAATATATTCATATTACAAAAACGTGCCGTTCGAGCGATCTACTGTATGAAGAGTCGTGACTCATTAAGAGAGAAATTCAAAGAGGCAAATATTCTCACCGTTGCTTCTCAATTTATATATTCAAATATCCTATATGTTCATAAAAATCTTGACTTATTTCCAAAAAACAGCAATATTCATAATATTAATACTAGATTTAAAGACAAACTTGCTGTCCCCAAGTATCGTTTAGAAAAAGTTAATAGGTCTTTTATGGGAATAGGTATAAAAATTTACAATAAGATACCAAAGGATATGTTGGAATTACCCTTAAATAAATTCAAAACATCTGTTAAATCATATTTACTGAGCAAGGCCTATTACTCACTAAACGATTACTTGAATGACGAGTGTGCATGGCAATAGTTGTTCATGCACTGAATTTTCATTTAATGTTAGACATAGACACCTATATAAATATACATTGTAAATAAACTGGCTTTAAAAGAAAAGTAATTCAATTGAGTTTCTTGCCAGTTCTTCTCAATTGGATCTATATACCGAACTGGACGGTAGGGTAAATATAAAATTATAATGTAAAAATTTGACGTTCATAAGCGGCTAAAATGTCCTACATGAATAAATGATTTTTGAATTTTGAATTTTGAATTTTGAATTTTGAATTTTTTCACACAAACAATTCTGTGTTTTTAGATTTCTATTTAGTGTATGTACCTACATACAAAGTTAATATCTCCAATATAAGTTATGTACCAAGATCATAAATAATATAATAATCTATATAGATCTAGTTACAAATACGTGCGGTTTGCACGTATTGCACGTAAACCGAGGAGGAGCATTAACGTAACAAATTGAAGAAGGGGCGTGCGTAGCGTATCACCTCCCTTTCCCTAATTTTGTCAGGTTCACGCCATTCTTTGAGGTTGAATGGCATGTATTTCGTGAGACCTTTTTGCCACAATTGACAAATATAGGTAAATTGTATACTGGATTAACTGCCTAAAAATCCATGATTGGGTAAGGTTACAATATGCAACACCATTTAATCTCCAGAAGAAACAATAAGAAGGAATTAGAGTAACAAAGAACAATTTAATCCAATAACAGAATAAAAACACTAGTCAAGGTGTGGTAAGGTAATAAAGTAGCTTGATCCCCTATTACGGAGCCTCGTTAATAAAACATTACTGAGGTTATTATAACAATGATAATGAAATAACTGTCATTATAAATCGGTTATAAAATCATATTCGCAACAGCACTTTCATTACGACACTTAATCCGCACTGTATTACAGACCTATAGGTTCCACGAAAGAAATATGGTCGACAAAATCACGTTTTCCCATATACAACGTTATTTTTCCATTTGGTGCGCACTTCTTGAACACTTTAAAATTATACACCATTTTAACGGATTAAAATATACTCGGAGACTGCTTGAGAACGGTAGTCAGGAATATCCTGCTGAATGCGCATCTGACGTGTTCTCCTGTTTATATACAGGATTATTTGCTAGTGGGGCTTCCGAGGCACGCTAATCTCATTTGCTTCATTAGTTGTTCACGTAAGTGCCTTGTGTAGGGTTTGTCTGAAGGCAAACAACGGTCACGATTTCTGTAATCATGTTTTTCGTGACTTTGAAGGTCATGTGGCAGTAAACCTGTCTTCTAATTACGTCTTCACAACTTCACTAGTTTTCTCTACGTTGTTAATTTGATTTTTTATCAAATTATTAAAATGTTTATTACTGTAATATGTTTCCTTCGTCCTATAACTTTGGATTTTTCAAACGTAGCGTGAATAACCACTTAGTGAGTGGGCATAGTGCGGCCAACCGTTGAGACTGGAACATTATCTGTTAGGTTGATCGTATTCATGGACCATGTGGTCTCTATGTTTGCTCAGAATGATCTGGTCACAAGTCATGCTATAATAAAAAAAATCGTCAACACTACTACCAAAAACATAGTAATAACCTTCTGGTAACAAATTACTAATCCAGAAAATTCCCCTTGCGATAATTAAGAAATACCTACATACTTATAACATGTCACTACTCCTTCACATTTCGGCTATGTTGTTATATTTCGGTTATATAGAATGACTAAGGGTAAATAGCACAATACGCCAGTACAAGCGAAACTCGAAATAAAATCCTGTTACAGTACACTGAAATCCTCCTTCCATGATAAGAGATCTGTGCCCAGCAGTGGCATATATCTATTAATATAAATTAAAGTTTCTGATGTGTGTATGTTTTTTTTAATGGGTGATACTAGAATGGCAACCCCGCCCGCATTATCGGTATACACCGGCGGGGCACCAGTGAAGGATGATAGGTGAGAATGAAGCAGGTCAGTTAGCCCATCTTGACGAATTCAACAAGAATTGTTCACGATAACTTCCAGGGGCAACCACCTGGAGATCGACCTGATAGGGTGTATTGCTAGCAATGGGTTCATTAGACCCCATTATAACCATCTCTTCCCCCCCCCCCCCTCTGATGCGTGTTTCAGTCGTCATTGGTTGTATTGTACCCATCATATTATATCCATAAGGCGATACGATCTACCTAATCATGACGATGGTCTCTAGTACCTACACCTAAACAGCCCTGTCTAGATATTTTCCATATTGCAGCAGATGCATTCATCCACTGTAGTATTTTATTCTTTTCCAAAAATAGCTTTCATAAATTTAATTGCCGATGAAAATAAAATTACTCCATAATTTAAATAGGGCCCAACGTAATGTACCTAAACACAAACATGCCCACGGTTTACTGTAAATTGAAAAAGTCATGAATTGGTGAGAGCGACGCGAGAGGGCGCGGGTGAGGTCTCGTAAAAAGCCGCATATTCAATAAGCGTCCGATTCCGAATAAATAAAGTCATCTCAGCCAGGTCGTAAACCCCTCAAATCGGTCACCAGCGCCCCCGCGCCGCGCCGTGGACCGTTTGCTTTTTTTGTTTATTCTATTCTGTTATTACGTTCGCTTATTTTGAATTCAATGCAAAGAGAGAGACGTGAATCCATACTCGTCTGTAGATAAAGGAAGGAACATATTTGTTCAGTATTATTCCATTTTTATTTCTTACTGAACTGAACCCGTTTCGTACCTAGGTACCTACAAATCCGATAAATTTCATTCCAGTGAAGATTTACCTATAAAAACAATTCGTTTCACAAAAACTACAGTTTCTAAATCGAATGGCTTTTGTTGTGTACTGACAGATTAGTGAGAATATTTAATTTTGTCTGTGTTGTAAACAAGATGATTATTCGTATATACATATGTACCTAGTTATTACATGTGGTATGCTTATTGTTACTCATAGATAGGTATCAATTTTGTTCGTTTTCGATTTCGATCGAGATTCCATTAATTTCAATTAAATTATAGATGTCCAGGTATATTTTACCAACATCACTAGGTATAAAATGTTAATTTTTAAACGGCATTTATTATATAATTTATTATTCAAAGTCTTAATTGTAATTTTTAAATGGCACACGACAGTATTGATTCTTTAACCTTTCAGCTCGCTAATAAAATTTCTGCTTTTAAAGGAAATGTTCGACTTGAATTTGAGTTAGATAATATAATTATCAACTTCTTGAAAAAAATCCGTAATATCTAAAAAAATGTCACTTTTAAATAACTCTATTATAAACTAGCTGTGACCCACGGCATTGCTCAGGTAAATTGGTATGGTTCAATCAAACAAAACCATTCAGACATTTAATGTAAATGAGTAACAAACATCCTAACATTTTCACAAACATTTGCTTTTAGACTTTCGCGCCGCATGTTTGATTTTATAACAAAGGGGAATTAATGTGATTTTTTTATGCAACTTAGAATGGCAAATAATAAATGAACAAGCTGACGGCTCGCCTCATGGAAAGTGGTAACCGTCACCTATAAACATGAACAATACAGTATCGTTGAATTAATAACAATAATTTCAGGTAAATTATCGTAGTTTATGTAAACATTCTTTGCAAATATCCACAAACGCAAAACACAAACGGTATATCTGTTAGTATAGTTTAACCACTGTATTATTACTATTTAATTAGAATTTGTATTTCAAATTAACTAAAAAGAAAATGCAGCGATCCAAGAATACGAAAGTGGGCAAGACGCGCGCGGTGACGTCACCGGCCGCCTCGCCGGACACCGCGGCGCCGGCGCACGTCTCACCGGCTCGCCCCGCGCCCCGCGCCCCGCGCCCCGCGCCCCGCGACTCCCGCCGCGCCCGCTCGTCTTTCGCCTCCAACAACAGTTATACTCACGATATTCAAGCGGTACACTTGCTGTGTCTTCTATTTTGTGATACAATATACAGTCAGTTTTATAAAACAATTTGTGATATTAATGTGGACACAACTACTTGACGATTCAAACAACATCGCTGTCTCTACGTAGAGGCGAACGTTGACATTCGTAAGTATGTATTCAAATATTGCCCTCTTGTTGTGATACTTTTCTGTTATGTTGCATTCAATACTGCTTACACAGCACATTGTCTTACTATCAGATTTCTAATGCAATTACATACTTTCGTGGTAGTTACTTTGAGAATATATTACAATCGTGTAATCACCTAAAAAATGTATAATTCCCCAAAAAAGAATATCAACAGGAAACTTACAGTGTAAGTTCCAGCTTTCAACTAGAAGACGTAACAAAACGTCCAAAAGCAGCTTAGACTGCCATAGTGAAGGGATCCAGATGATCCTTTCAGCATTGGCATTCCGTCTACAAATCAATAGTCTTGGTATATCTCCATCTGCTTCTATACATACTCTGCACAGTAAAATTTTGAACAGTTAGTTGCACCTAATGAACTTATTTCCACATAGAATTTACATCGCAGTCCACTCTTGACAGCCACAGTCGTTGGAGCGATCTGTCTGATGAACACGACTAGTCAAAACTTATCTATCGAGTTTTTTTGGAGGCTAATGAAACATCCTCATCAGTCTATCTGCACCCTGCAGTTTTCCGTAATATTTTTCAAATATTTTAATTCCTATAAACCTATTCCTGACAATTACAAACACAACAGAAAAAGTACTCGTATTTATTAAATAATTACGGATTGCCTGAAGTGATATTTTTACATACATTTTGCATTTGATTTTTGAATATATAGATGTAGCACTTCACTCAAAATTGATTTGTTTTATGCAAAACATGGTAAAAAAGGGTTTTATAATAGCTTCGAGTTTTGCAGTATTTTTTTATACTTCTTAGAATGACAAACAAGCTGACGACCCACCTGATGGAAAGTGGTAACCGTCGCCTATAGACATGAGCAGTACCATGGACATAACAGAGTATACTGTTTCGCCCATGATAATCCGCATGCGTTGCCATTCCTGAGGACTCAGGTGTTATTCCTCTGTACCCTGTAAATTCACTGCTATATCTCACCCTTCAAACCGAAACACAGCCATGCAAATACAACTGCTTCACGGTAGAAACAAAAATGGGACACAGATGCCCGAGCAAACGACTTTTGTACTAAGTCTTTCTCTGGTAATGTACTGGCACCTTTCCTAACAAGTTCATCTATCAAATTGTTATCTCTTGCAATTCTCTTCAACACTCTGATATGAGAACGGATGTTTTCTTAGAGTTCAGAATTGATACATATATGTTTATAGGTTTGATAAAAGGTCTCTAACATTTCAAACTACGATTACATCTGATACTCTAATAATATCATGAAGTAATATGAATAATATATAGTTATTTCACTATACATAATACATAGTTATTTCATTTCTTCATTTCACTTAATGACTACATTAATAATTTCACATAATCAAGGTCGAGGGATGGACAGCAGCATCCCTCTTCAAACATAACCAATGCCTTTGTCCTCACTATGGCCCCGCCAGTAAATACCGATAGCGCAGGCGGGGTTACCATTCCATTATCATCTATTAAAACCTGCAGTTGCCAACCAATCCACCAAGCATGGCAACTATTAGCAAAGCCCCTCTTATGGGGGAAATCTATTTTCAGCAGTGGACATATTAAAGGCTAATATGGCTACGTTAATAAATGCGTCAGACATCAATTGTGACAAACTGACAATTGTACTGAACCGATTTTGATAAAATTTCTATAGGATCAATTTATGAGTACATGTATCCTTTCAGATATATATTTTTCCAAATTGATTTACAACTAACGGATTTATGAGGTAACAAACATAAAAAAATACAACAAAACTGACAACCTTCTTCTTTTTAAAATCGGTTGAAAGACAAACAAACCGGCAGCCTGCTTGACTCAACGCAGTCACCTATACAGGAACAGCATAAAGGACTTCATGGAATTCACGTGCCAAATGTATTACACATACATCTGACATTTGAATTTCTATACAGTGGAGCCGCTTTTCAAATACTATAATAATTTCACTGCAACACAATTCATTGGAAAAACTGGAACAAAATCTCTGTATAATTTAATAAACTACATACTGGCTATATACATAATAATTGATGAAGTAATTAACATAAATCATACAGAGTATGCGTAAAGAACATAACAATCAAAAACGTGATAACACTTGTATCATAAAACTAAGGCATTTCTGTTATACAGCCGATGACAAAAGTTTACACATCCCAATCTGTCTCCATCTGATTCGTTAAATGTTACCTTTTTCTCAGAACACTACGTTGAATATTTCAGCCAATGGGCAAACCATAACTCGGAACATGCACTCCAGCTCCGCACCGGTGCGCGACGCGCGCGACAGCCCCGACTCCCAGCCGACAGGTATTAACGATTAAACAATTGAATAACCTCGAATGATAAGCTGATGCCCTAGAGATAGAAGAACATCATAAGGTATATATGCACAAACGACAACAAAAGCCATCACTCCATAGAACCTCAGCAGAAAAAAATTCCTTGATGTGATTCTTCTTTCCTCGATTCTTACATATTGAATTTAAATAAATTAAAAAAAGTGTATAACTAATTTTATATTTGGAACCATTTTTCTATTCTAATCAACAAAAGGATAAATTTATTGGATATTTTGTCTTATCGCACCTCGCTTGCAACCATTGGTGCGACAAGATCTAAATTGGATGTGAGCAAAAACCTTTCTACAAGATACTCTTGTTGACGCGAAAAGATGGTTTAAAAACAATTGAAGTGAAAGGTAAATTGATCCTCTTCTTCTTCTTGTAATGTTTATAACTGAATACTCGGCAGGCGTGGTGGAGCTGCGCGAGGACGTGCCGCTGAAAGCGAGCACGCTGGGCGGCAGCTCGGCGCGGTGCTGCGCCGGCGGACCCAGGTTCATCCTCGCGTGCTTCGCCGCGCTCTCCGCCGCCATCACGCTCGCGCTCCTCACACAGATATACTACGGCGACTACGAGGTATCACACGATTTTCATGAATGGAAATGACCACTTCTTACCCGAAACTTATTGTGGCACCAACTAACAAAAAGATAATATATGGGATTATGTCGCAAATTCTCTACAAAAGCCTAATCAGCAATGAATTTGTCGACAATTCTTTATAATTTTCTGTCGCTGGTCAACCATTCCTTTCACGAATAATAGAGATATGTGTTTCAACTGCCGCGGAAGATTTGCATACGACCGACATCTCTAAGACCTACCTTTATTTGTTCTATCCCTTATGTAAGAAATTGTATTCTGAGAAATTCTATAACATGATACCCTTTTGTTATTACACTTCTTGGCATCAGGAAATTAATTCTTATATGCTACAACCCAATGACCATGAGCTGTATGATTTCGGATGTTTCCTCCCGGAAACGCTCAAGTACTGGAAAGAACTACTGATGTTTTCACTGTAGATTACTGTATGGGCTACTTCAAAAAGGGTGCATCTAAATGTCACGGGCACGTTACTGTTAAACAATTATGGAGACTACAGAGATAAATCTAAATCCTTGCGTACTTTTAATGAGGTGTTCTATCGCTGATACTGATCTAGCCAAAGAACGATAAAAATTTAGAGCTTTGCTTTCAATATACATAAGTATTTGGACGACCTACGCGATTTAAATTTTGTAGATTCTTTTTTTTTTAATGTTTAGTTACACAGTGTTTCACGTCTGTGGGTAGGACATTTCATAAAAGGATGCAGGTGTCTCAGTCCCCCCCCCCCCCCCCTCCTACCGGTATATTAAGTAAGCGGGCAGTAGTTGACGTGTGTGTGTGTGTGTGTGTGCGTGTGCGTACGGGCGGAGGTGGTGCCGCACGGCAGCGTGTCGTCGTCGGCGGCGGCGTGCTCGCGCGCGGGCACGGACGCGCTGCTGGCGGGCGGCCGCGCGCTCGACGCCGCGCTCGCCGCCGCGCTCTGCCTCGCCGTCGTCGCGCCGCACCGCACCTCGCTCGACGCGTACGTACCCACACTGCACTACACTACACTGCACCACACTACACTACACTACACTACACTGCACCACACTACACTACACTACACTTTAAAGAGATTATTCGTCTAACTGCTCTATTGCTAGCAATATAGAGTATATTATTCTAACAATATAGGTCGACCTCAAAGCGATTTCATCTCGAAATCATCTTCATCATTATCATCATCATATCATCATACTTGTAATAAATCTGTAGAGAGGTCAATTGTGTACATGAAATATATTTCCAAAATAACTATCAGCGGGTGATTAGTGATCGATACTGATGCCAAAAATGCAATCAGTAAAATTTTTGTGTCTGTCTGTATGTTCATTATAGAAACAAAAACTACTCGACGGATTTTAACGAAACTTGGTACAATTATTCCTCATACTCCTGGGCAGGTTATAGTATACTTTTCATCACGCTACGATCATTAGGAGCAGAGCAATGAAGGGAAATGTTGGGAAAACGGAAGAAATTACTCCATTCTTAAGCTTCCGTCGCGTGTGCAGCCTTAATGGCCACTTTTTAAAATGTAAAAATGTCCACCCGTGCGACGCCGGGACGGGCTGCTAATCGTAATTATTTATTGTAAAATTCGATGGGCTAACTAACCTACGTATCATCGCTTACTGGTGCCCCTATGTTTGGCAATGGAAATTGAATGCCCCATTGCTAGCAATATGCCCTATTAGGTCGACCTCCACGAGGTTCCACTTGGAAACTATCGGGAAAATTTTTGTTGAATTCATCACGATGAACTAACTGATCTACCTTTTCATCCTTACCAATCATCCCAGTGATAGATGTGGATGAAGCAGGTCAGTTAGCCCACCATGACAAATCTAATAATAAATCAATCACGATGGTTTCCAGTGGGAACCACGAGGAGATCGACCTGACAAGGTATATTGCTAACAATAGGGCTACTAATCTTCGTTACTAACAATCCCTTCTCCCCCCACATACCTACATTTCCCTCCTTTTGTAAGATCAAAAATACTCTACGCAATTAAAATAATATTGTTCCTTTCATATGTGTTTAGCTAAAAAGGAAAGCGTTCAAAAAATATATAAAAATTAAGTAGGTAAAAAATCACAATTATATCCCTATATATTGGATATTTACTCCCTTATTCGCAAAAATATCAAACCTCTCGTAAACCTACATTATTAGCTATTGTCCCTTTCTTCTATGCTAAATTCCCCATTGGAAAGAAAGTGACGAAACCTATAATAGTTAAAATAGGATTGTAAAAAAATTAATTTCTATAAATAAGGGCGTTATTGTGCATTTTCTCTATTTAATTTTTCTTTTCATAAATCTTAGTAACAGCGACATCTACATGATAACATTGACTATACAATTCAAAGAAAGCTCTAAACGAAATTGCTTGCTAACTAGCATATGCAATCAACAAAAGTTAAATTGTTTGCTTTTTTCTCAAATCAAAACGTTTTATGATATAGCGACAGAGGGCGCTACTCATATTTGTTAACATTCCTCAGTGGAAAAAAGTAACAAAACCTTTAATAGTTAAAATAGGATTGTAAAAACATTTCATTTCTATAAATAAGGGCGTTATTGTGCATTTTCTCCATTTAATTTTTTTTTCATAAATCTTAGTAATAGCGACATCTACATGATGATATGGACTATACAATTCCAACAAAACTACTTGCTAATCAGCATATGCTTTCAACAATAGTTAAACTGTTTGCTTTTTTCTCAACTCAGAACGTTTTACGATACGGCGACAGAGGACGCTACTCGTGCTTGTTAACAATTTTGATTATGTATTAAATCATTTAATGATTGCTCCATTCAAATGCCAAATATTAAATTGTATTTCAATTAAATTCAAGCTATCCTTATCAAAAAGGTCATCATGCAGTATTGCGCTGATTCATAGTACGACCAGTTAATTAAGGCCACTTCCGTGCTCTATTACCATTTTGTTTGTCAACCAACATTATTAATTACTTAGGTGGCGGTATCGATTCAGAGTAACAACATATCGTTTTGTCGATATGAATCGGAATTATATCCAAATATTATTATGAGTCCAGTAGTATCGAATAATATTTTGCAAAAATCAGATTTAAGTATCTGCTACTTAGTTTATAGTCACCCCCTTAATATATACATATGTGTAACCATCAACACCTGGGGGGAAAGGGATTATTAGTAATGGAGCTTGATAGCCCCATTGCTAAAAATATGCCCTATTAGGCTGACCTCCATGTGGTTTCCCCTGGAAACCATCGTGAACAATTCTTGTTGAATTCGTCACGATGGGCTAACTGACATCCTCACTTATCATCCTTCACTGGTGGCCCGCCGGTGTATACCGATAGCGCGGGTGAGGCTACCATTCCTTTATCATCCATAAAAAACCACCCTTTTAGACACCATCAACACCCCTTTAGAAATAACCACCCCATTATTAGGTGTTTAAAATATTCATAATTAAGTTAAAATTGCGTCCCACAAAATTGGATAACTATATTTATACTGTGCTACTCTAATTATATTTTTTTATATGTCGATCTTGATACGAGTATGAACTGTTCGGTAGCGAACCTGTCGTACTAATAGTGACCAATCAATACAAAATGGGCGCGTATATCGACCGCTGTTATGATTATGAAGCATTAAGCATTGTTTGCATTTCAATGTTATCACGTTTTTATGCTTTCAAGTGTTACGAAAGCTACTTAATAGTGTGACTGATTTCACAGGCTTTTTATCACTTCACACGGTGTAAACAGGCTATTGTGGTAAAACGAACAGATTGTCGCATTCTAAATACAAGCAGGTTTTGGAATGGTAAGTAACATAGTGTTCTAGGTACATTGTGAAAAGGTCATCGACCTATAATCCAATGTTGCTAGCATCGGGGTCCCTAATCCCCATTGGCAACATACTGTTCCGTCTACCAGGAGCGGGTCGCTGCTGTACTGGGAGTACCGGCAGGCGCGCTCGCAGCCGCCGCTGCTGGCGGAGTGGGGCGGGGCGGGGCGGCGGGCGGCGGGGGCGGGGGCGGGGGAGGCGCCGCGGGCCGTGGCCGCGCTGGCGGCGCTGCACGCGCGGCTCGGCGCGCTGCCCTGGTCGCGCCTGCTGCAGCCCGCCATAGACCTCGCCAGGTACACCGAAACCCGCCAAGCCCACTAAATTCTAATGTACAATACTCATATGGTCAGGGTGGAAAGGGATTGTTAGTAGTGGAGACTGAGAATCCCATTGCTAGCAATATTCCCAACCAGATCGACCTCCTCGCGGTTCCCCCTGGAAACTATCATGGTTAATTCCTGATGGATTCATCATGATGGACTAACTGGCCTGTTTTCATTCTCATCTATCACCCTTCACTGGTGCTCCGCCAGCGTATCCCGTTAGCGCAGGCGGGATTACCATACCATTTTCACCCATCAAATAAAAAAAAAACTCATATGGTCAGTCTGTATCAAATTTAATCATTTAAATCTATCAAACATCGTAATGAATTTCCACATTACATTACGTGACGCAGTCTGGCGTAAAAAGACAACTTCTTATATGTAAAAACATAATACGCGGGAATGGCAACAGTATCTTGGACATGTTTGTAAATAAATTAGATAGTCCTCTCGTGAGAATGCTCGCCGAGAGGACTTTAACATTATTAGTGATTAAATTTTTAAATACACTTACTAACAAAAATGGATCAAAGTTGTCTAAAATGAATAAATTAAATTAAATAAATCAACAAAAGTTACCATAGACTGGCTTTGTATATAGCCATTTGCATCGTTATGTTATCTTACTCTCTTTGCATTTTCTACCGCCCAGTTGCTGCACTCACATGACCATGTATCTGCCTCGATGTAGCAACGCATCAGTGTTACCGCTGAACTGCTCAGTGTTCCATTACACTTCTTTTTTTTATACAACTTAGAATGGCAAACAAGTTGACGGCCCACCTGATGGAAAGTGGTAACCGTCGCCTATAGACATGAGCAGTACCGTGGACATAACAGAGTATACTGTTTCGCCCATGATACCCCCCATACGTTGCCTTTCCTGAGAACTCAGGTGTTATTCCTCTGTACCCAGTAAATTCACGCCATATCCCACTCTTCAAACCGAAACACAGCCATGCAAACACAACTGCTTCACGGTAGAAACACGAATAGGATAAAGGTACCCAAGCAATCGACTTTTGTACAGTCTCCCTCTGGTAGTACTTCTGATGCTGCTATGGCCATAGACGGCAATCTTATCTCTTTATTCAGGAACGGAGGGCTTCAAATTTATTTAAATATATTTGCCTTTAAGTTTCTTTTTAATTCGTTTACAAAATAAAAAAAAGGTTATATTGAGATATGTACCTTTCGAGTAGGTAACAGGCCACAGAGAGAAAAACATATTTCAGGGAGAGGCTCCTTTCACCGGCTTCTAACTGCTGTCAAAAATGACGTGTGTTTTCTTGCATAGACAAAATAAAAGTTCTAAGCGCGGACACTCTTATCAGATGAAATATCAACTTATTTTTACTTCGAAACCTAAAAAAAAGCTCAAACATTATATAAATATGATCTCGTTGATATCTTATACAATCAAATGTTCTCTCTTTTGATTTATTATCAATCAGTTTTTTCTGACTATAAGCAGATGTTGTATTATTAGATTTTATACTAGTGAAGGTACTCTTTAGAAATATTCCTTATTTGTATAGTGGCATGTAGCTTTTTTTAATGGATAATAATGAATGGTTACCCGCTAAGGATACACTGGCAGTGAACTAATGAGGGATGATAGGTGAGGATGAAGCTGGTCAGTTGGCCTTTCGTGACTAACAATAAATCAATCACAATAGTTTCCAGGGGGAACCACGTGGAGGTCAACCCGATAGGGTATATATATATATTGCTAGCAATGGGATTGTTAATTCCCATTACTACCAATCCCCTCTCCCCCCAGTCGCATAGAGCTACCAAGTTCGAGGATTCTACGTCTCTTCAATAGTTTAAATAAACAAAAGGAGATTTGGTATAAATTGTAATAGTTGTCTAATTCGTGTTTTATACTTTTTTCCATTCTGTGTTATAGATTTGAAGATTTATATTGTATTATTTACAACACACGAACAATAAGTCCTCAGAATTATTGTCTCCTTATATACGATCTAATATCAATTTGTCATAGAGATACAAAGCTAAATTGTCGTTTTGTAATACAGAGACGGCTTTCCGGTGTCGGAGGGGTTGACGAGCGTGGAAACGACGACGCCTGAGTCGCGGCCCGGCGCCATTCGCCGCGACCCGGCGCTCGCACGCTACCTCCAGTCTCTGCAGCGCAACACCAGCGCTGGTAATTAGCCCTCTCAATAATTTTATATTAGGCATTAACTGTCCGCTCTGAACACATGCTTTTTCTTTAAGGCGAGGGGGGTTTGCCAGTAGTCGCCATGGTGGGCAGGCGGCTAGGCAACCGCAATTAGGCGCAATTAGGGTTTGCTGATATTTTAAGAGGAATGCTATTGCTTATCTCTCGACCATTAAGTTCTATTAATATGATAGCCTAGAGAATAATATAAAACTTCATATGATAGCCTAGGGAAACGAAGGGGTGGCCTTTTCCATGCCGGGAGTACACGGTGGTAACTATAATTTTATTGACAGAAGAGGATTTCGACGGCTGCGACCCTGGCATACAGAAAATAGGAGTATATTTCTCCTCTCGCTCAAAATTAAAAGCTAATACTGGCCAAAATACTTCTGACCCTGACTATCTGAGAAAAGTACTCGATCTAGAAAGGTGCTCTTCCTCAGTGTGGAGCCTCGGTGTAGATTGAGCTCCTTATGCTAGATGTAGCTAAGCGGTGGTTGTGGTGGCAGAGCTGGCGGCGGCGTGGGGCGGCGCGGCGCGCGAGGCGCAGGCGCGGCCGGTGCGCGGCGCGGGCTGGCGCGCGCTGCTGCCGCGCGCCGGGCCCGCCGCCGCGCTGCGCGCCGCGCTCGCCGCGCCCGCCGGCGACACCGACCTGTACGCAAACTTCTGTAAATAAATGATGCACTATTACACTCCTCGCGAGATAGTCTCGCGCGAGGTGGACTTCCCTCTTATACGGTACTCTGTTTCTAGTCACCCATATTAGTAGTCTCTACAGTAGATACGCACATATTCCGGAAATTCTTGATGTACAACTCGAAAAGTACGCGACCGCTGATCTTGATAGATCAGTCTGAGCGACCCCAATACTCACCTTAGTCACTATACGAGTAAACACGGTTCTAGGAGCGAAACCGGTATCGATCCATGCGTAGACCTAGATGAATGATTGAAACGATGTTGCTAATGAATTATTTTGCTCATATCATCACCATATCACCCGTTAACTGTCCACTGTTGAATATAGACCTCCTCTAATAGTAAGTTTTGCTAATAGTTGCTACGCTTAATACACGGGTTGGCGACCGCAATTTGGCATCTGGCTTTGGCTTTGGTGATGTTTTAAGAGGAACACTCCTGTCCATTCCTCGATCATTAAGTTCCCTTAGTCTTCGCCTCTTAGGACATCCTCGGGAAAGAAAGGAATGGTCCATTCTATTTCGGGATCACGTAGCAATTTGCTCACGTTTATCATATATTCAATGTTTAGAGTGATTAACGAATTGCAACGATACGCCGAGGCGTCCAACGGCACGTGGCCGCCGAGCAGCGTCGCCACGGGACTCGCCGTCGTCGACCGGCTCGACACTTACGTTGCGCTCGTCACGTAAGTATACGACCCTGCTTATCGAAGGTCGTACACAAATAACAACCGAATATCGAAATATAGTACGTTTTACTCTTTATAGCGGATTATCGACTCCTTTCGGCTCGGGCCCACCGACCGCGGAGGGCTGGATTCGCGACGAACCTTCTGAATCTCTGGACTTGGCGCCGGCGATTATCACGGAAGATTTCGTTTGTGGTGAGTTCTGTCGGATGTCCGTACTCATCCACAGACTAGCTTTAAACCAATATTGATCCTCGCAGGGCAGGGAATACTGTCCTTTTTAAGAAGAAAACAAGATAGAATTTTCATACACCGATCTCTATTATTTATCATATTCCATCTTCTTTTCCCTAAAGACTACAGCATTGTGTTATTTAAAAATACCTGATAAATTACTGCAGTTGATGAGATGATAGAACGGAAGTTGACTCGGAATGAACGTGTTATGAGAACAGATGACAATCGTGACACTAAAATAATGTTTCAAAAGGTGACGGATAAGCGAGACGTAGACCTAAATAGATGCATGTAACGGATGAACGGTATTATGAATGTTTGCGAGAGGGCCGACGAGCGAGACGACCGGATGGAAGGCGAAGACCTACCGTAACGGTAAAACTGTGGCCGCAGGCACGCGGTACGTAGTGGGCGCGGAGTCGTGGGCGGCGCTGGCGCAGGCGGCGGCGGCGCTGGTGCACGGCGGCGCGCCGGGCGGCGTGGAGCGCGCGCGCCTGGCGCTGCAGCCACGCGGCGGCGGCGCGCTGGCCGGCGAGGCGGCGCGGCCCGCGCCCGCCGCCGGCGCCGCGCCGCCCTACAACGCCACGCCGCCCTACGCCGCCGTCAACGTCGTGCAGCAGCGCGGCGACGCGCTGCTCTCGCACGCCGACAGCCGCGGCGGCGGGCTCGCCTCGCGCTTCTGACACCCGCCCCCTAGCACCCCCTTCACTTATTGTTTGTACTTAATTTATTGAATAAAAAATACTTTACAGATCGATTTTAATTTTTATTAAAAAAAAAGTAACTCATCAGTCACACTGTTGTACGAGAACCGGTCCGTTACAGTTCTTCGAAACAATGAGCGATGTTGCAAATCTAATTGTGAGACAAAAAAATTGCTATTGAGATAGGTATTCTTGTAAACAAGTCTGGTAAAAAATTTTCTTTCGTAGTAAGTAGAATCACAGACAAAAAAAGTATATTTTTTTGTCTGTGATTCTACTGCGTAGTACGTACCGAGAGCGATGTTTTGGACCATGGTTCTATCTATAGGAATGTAACAAAAAATTATTATCTTTTGCTGGGCGTTGGACCCTCTCGTCGGACAGTACATTCACCGCCAATATTGTTAGCGATACAAGTCTTGAGTCATCCAACAGACTGTACTGCGTACCGGCAGGGATCACGTGTGATTAGTAAAAGACGTAGAATTAGATACATAATACGAATTGTATAAATATGTTTAATATGGGGAAGAATAAACGGAGTACTGCCCTCTACAAGTATATGTTAACGCAGAAGTTTTTTTTTCATATAAAGTACAACGCAATCTATTATGCTCAATAATTGCTGTTTCGACACACCGATGTAAAAGATCTGCGTGACTTTTTCTTGACGTAATATAAATGTAATTCGCCGTCTTGAGACGCCTGTCTAGACATCGGTCTCTAAACATGACATCCACTTAATTTTTTACCTGTTTTAGATAATCATTGATATTTTTTTAGTAATTTGATCTAGACATTCTATAGTATTAACTACTTTTTATTTACTAATTTATTTGTAAACCACTTATGTCTTATCAAATCAGAATAGAGTTATTTACGATGCGTTACGCTTATCTGTTAATAAATTTTAAACAATAAATTCTCATTTCAATGAATGGAGACGTATTACAAACTTTAAAGAACAATCATTACAAAATCATTATATATGTTTTTCATAGACGAACAACAAGATTACAAACAGAAATGAAAAAGCGACAAACATAAATCATTAGAAGTGTTCTCCTACATTTAGCTGCCGCCAGTACAATACGTATAAATAAAGGTCACCTTCAAACACGTATTATCTCATAAGAATCTGAAGAAAACATATACGAAATGTATTTAGCTCATAAGAAACTAAATTGTTTATAATATTGGATTTATAACGAGTGTCACGTTTTTAAGTCTTTTTTTTTCGCCTGGCGTTATGTTTACAACAACCACAGCAGTGGACTAAAACCTCAGAGTAGGTCATTAGACATTTTGAATTCACGTACAAAATACCTTAACTATTATAATAAAAGTACAAGACATGATAAAAATATCTCGCATATCTTTAATTTGGTTAGTGCTTAGTAATATGAATAATACATGAATAAGTTACACTTCCGTCTTTGGGTCACCGACTTAGTTCCAGTCATTATCATTCATCATTTCAACCATATATTGCTGGTAATGGGATTCTCAGTCTCCATTACTAAAAATTCCTTTCCCCCCGGGCAGTGATTGTTAGTAATGAGATTTAACAGGCCCATTGCTCACTATGGGCCAACTGACCTAGACGTACCTTCATCCTCACCTGTCACCCTTCACTAATACCCCGCCGGCGTATACCAATAACGCAGGCAAGATTACCAATCCATCTTCACCCATTAAAAAACATGATTTAATAAAATTAGAAGTTTAAGTTTAGTTTTAGTTTTTTTTTTTTTTTACTGCTGCTATGCTGTGGTTTTCAATAGTATTTGTTTGTTTAATTTTGTTTATATTATTTGTTTAATTTTAGTATTGTCTAATTTTGTGTTTTGTTTACTTGTATTTTATTTTGTGCAAAGTGGCTACCAAATGACTATTTAAGTATATAATTATGTATCATTTTAGCTGTTTGTTTGCCTTAAATAAATAAATAAATAAATAGACTGACATTTGATCTTGCACTAATGTATAATTTAATTATAAATTAATTTAATTAATATTTACATCACTCATTGTTCGTATTCAAAACACAATTAACAAATGACCAAACTAGCGCGAAACGGAGGCCCTTTACCTTGCATGCAAATGAGAGCTGCCTACGCCACGCTATGTGACTAGAGCTTTCACCTCGCCGTCGACGATGGTATAAAAAACCTAAGGTAAACTCAATTACGTCTGTAAACTGTGACAAGTGGTCCCACGTAGGTACGAGTAGGTATTGTTATTGCTTGACTACTTCGAGACTAGCGCTTCTAATTTTAACTTGTCTAAATACAAATATCCGCAGGGCTTGTCAACCGCCGCTAGGGACCGCAGCGCGGGCTCGCTCCTCGCACGGAGAGTATGTATTACAATACATTATAATACAGCGATATAGGGGGAAAAGCCCTTTCCGAAAGGGTAGAAATAATTGGTTCTAACAGCCCATCGCTAACAATACACCCTATCAGGTCGACCTCCACGCGGTTCCTTCTAGAAACCATTGTGGTTAATCCTTTATGATTTCTTCACGATGGACTAAATGACCTTTCATCTTCACCTATCATCCCTCACTGGTGCCCCGTCAGCGTATTCCGATAGCACAGCGATATAACGCACCCAAAATCCTTGGCACAATCTATATTGGATCTTAAAATTTTTAAATTTATATTAACTTGATATCTTAGTTTATTTATAATATAAAATTATACAATAACTTGTGAAATAAGAGCAATAGCGTAGGTGGTTTTCGGTTGCGAATACACTATACGCTTACGAAACCTGATTAAGGCGACGCGCTCTTGTTCGGTTCTTAAAATAAATTTAAATTATTTAAAATTCGTGTTGGCAATTAGCGGTGTGATAAAATAATCTCGCTTTAGAAATACTCGTGTACCGGCGTAACA